GCGTGCCTCGACATATCGCACGCGTGTAGATGGCTCCTTGTTTCCAAGCCATTTCTTGAACGCTGCTTTACATATATATATATGTATGTATTCGTGAAGCTGCCCCGACAAAAGCTGCAGGTGGTATGGTGGGGCCACTTAAATGGGCAACGATCGATGGTATTTAAGCGAGTTCAGTTCATTTGACTCAAAACCGCAACACTGAGCTTCAACTCGCTAACTTCACATGGTAGTTGGAGGGAAATGATTGCTCTCACGAAGTAAGTCAAAGATTTGTTCAGAGAATGGATGCAAAAAACGTTTTCCAACGTTTTGCAGAGCAAGCTTCCTACTGCAAAGCCGAGTTCGTTGATATCACAATCACCATCATCAGGTTTTCAAGTCATTAATGTTAAGGTCGGTTTATTGAAATTTTAATCCATTTCGATGCAGCGAACTTCTTCAGCTTATCCTGTTGTTGGTCTGTAAGTCCTACTACGAGCCGTTCACTTTCACTTATAGCCCAGCCTACCGTCTCTCTTGTCAAGCGACGACGTTGCATGTTCTTGCAACTTAAATTTCTTCACTCGATCAATAGCATTGCAGAATCAATCACCTATGTACTTTGGTTTCAGATCTGGTCTTTGATAAATAAAAAACACCCCAACACTGAGCCATTTATTTTTGCGTTAATCTATAAACGTAAATTATGAATAAAATCGCTACCGTTATCCGTCATACGTTTTTACTACTTAAGGATAACAGGGTACGAAGTGCCGATGTGAGGAGTGTCGTTCAACTTGTAGGAAGTGACGGCCATCTTTTGTCTGTCTATTTCGAACTTGCAGGCGGTGTTTCCTGGCTTCGCTACGTAGCACATGGTGAACAAGGCGAAGTCGAACTCAGGGCTGGTGCCGATCAGGAAACTGCCCACGTCTTTGCGGCACTTCCTCCAATTATAATGTATTGTTGAGGCTATTTCCTAAAATTTACGGAATGGACTTCCTCGTTTGCTGCCACTGATCGTGCCGCTTGCTCATACCTTGCCGATCTGCAGATACCCGAGATAGTTGACCTGGCCTTCGTGTTCCAACATATAGTATCGAACCCAGTAATGCAGGCCGTCGACGATCTTTCTTTTATTCCTCAACTCACCGCAGAACACATGCTCGAAACCAGAGCTACTCGATTTGCCCGGAGCACGGCTGTAAAATGCAAACCACATCCTCTTCAGGTCGGCTTTAAATTGCTCAGGATCTTCTGAAGCCAACCCTAAGACAATAAGTTTCAACGATATGAATAATTTACTCACTTAAGAAGCTTTAAGCGAGATTCGCATGAAGTCTAATTAACGCTAGATCATGGAGTACAGTTTTCCAGAGGTTATTGCTGACTCATTGCTGCAGATCAAGAGGAGGAGCCAAAATATCATATTTGTGAACACACAGCGATTTGGTGTCATCTTATATGTTGGAAGATGATAAAGCTGGGAGATACGATCAGCTAAAACTTAGTTTTGTTTTTGAGGATGTATTGTTCCTTAAATTCTGTCCCCATAAGAAATGCATCGAATGATTCTGAAATGGACAGAAAGCACTTGGCAGATCCAGACTCCCCATCAGCAGGTAATGGCACAGACTGGCTGGGTTACATTGCAATTTACTGTCGAGGCAACTTTCTCTCAAGAGTCGTCGCCGCTGCTTCAGTGCTTGGGTGATTGATTGGCTAATTGTATTATCTGGCCACACTGTTTGTCTGTACTTTTGTCTGAGTTGTTGAGTTTGCACAGTCAGTGGCAGCACAGCAAGTTTGCAGTCCGTATACAAATTCTCATTACTAACTGTTACGCGTCTACTCACGGAATAACACTGCCGTTTTTAGTCGCTCCCATCTCGCACACTTGCTCTGTGAATTCGAAGCCCCCCTCCAGCCTACAACGATGTATCATTCATACTGTACACAGAATCTTTAGATCACCCACTTACTTCATAGCAGAAAATGTGCTGTAGCACTTAATAACGCACCTTTGCTAATGAGGAACTGCCACATGATGGTGAACACCTTCGTCTGCATCACTTCGTCCATGAACTCGTCGATCGCTCTGTACTGCTCCTCAGTCCAGTTCTCAGTTATGGCCGTGTTCGGGTGGTAATTATCGATCAATTTCAGATACGCCGCATACGTGCCTCGTTGCAACATTTCCGTACTGATGTTCTTGAATAATCTGCAAAACTGGTTTACACTTATTGCCGCGTAGCAAACCGTATGATTTCTTACGGTAATTTGGCCAAATCTATCGGGGAAAGCGGTGTTGTGCGTTGTTGGTAATTCAACGTTATGTCCCGTGGCTTCGCCGCGTCGATGTCTGCCTTCCTCATTTGCTGTACGACCCTGTTCACCTCATCGTTGCTCACCGAGGCCTGTAGTCGCAGGAGGTCTGAAAGCTCGGTGATTATGCTGAAAAAGATTCTGTCCATAACTGTGGCTAACCTGGGTCATCAGGCACCGTCATTTTTTCCTCCACATTCTCACCGTCATCCCCTGAAATAGAATGCTCCTCGTTAGCGTCGCTGTGACGTTCACGTCATATCACCTGTCTCTTGAAGGAGGTGCACAGTGGAACTCAGAGCTAGGATCGCAAAGTTGGCGAAAATCACCGTCCTCATTCCGTTACACCACGGACCGCAATTCGCCGTTCAAGTGGCCTGCAATTTATTGGCGTCGAACACGTATACGCAAAACGCACGCATGACCAACAAAGGTCAACAAAGCGGGATATGAGAATTTTATCAGCTATCAAAAAACCTTAATCCAACGCTGCATTTTTTGAATGCTCATTACCACATGACATTTCTTGATTAACAATTTCTACAGCCAGTATCACTTCTATCTTCGTTGTTCCATTATGCACGCTCTGTATGAATAAAATTCTGAGGTCGAGCTTCCGAGTAACTGAGGATATGAGTAGAATGTCTTAATAACTTGGCGAAATCCCAAAAATTATTAACATTCAAACGAGACAGGATTTAGCCGTCGTTCGTACTCAGAATCAAAATTATATCCTTAAATTACAGCTACAATGAAGGACTTCTGACGAATCGCATGGATATGGACATCAACCCCCCATCATCAATTCAATGCAAAGAAGACCTCCAAAACGGCTCTCTCATAAAAGCGTGAGGAAAGAAAGCATTCCAACGCAAAAAAAAACATTTCTTTTCTTCTTTTATACCGCGAAACATTCTTGTGTGCCCCTGTGAAAGAAAGTCTTGCTCAGTTAGACATCTTATACCTCTGTCGGCGTTGCAACCTCTCAACCTATTGGCAAAACACTATCAAGTCAATAATCCCACGAAGTCTGACTTTCTTTCGGCCAGCGGTGAACAAGATCAATGAACATGTGCTGATCGAAAAACAACGCCAGGGAGAATGGTCCTCAATGAGCTGTTCTTATTCACGAGTCACGAACGAGCGAAGGCATCGCTGACACTGAATTTCGTCAGCTTCCCAAAATTCTACTCTATCTGTTCAGAACCTACAGAATCTCTGAGGCTAAACATCTGGGATTTTAAGTACCAATTTTTGAACAGATCATGAATACTACTTTGTTGTTCAGACATTCTGAACCATTGCTCCAAAGAGATCCAATGCTGACTATTATTCAATGTGAAATATGGCAGAAACTTGGACTATATGTAACGAAAAGTTTTGCATATTTTAATTAGCAGCGAATTACCTACCTGATGACAATAACAGGAACTGGATGAGCTAATATATTATGATTGCTAACGATCGATCGATCGATCATGTGCATTAGTTGAACTGGTGTAGAATCGCCAAAACGTAGCAACGGATTGCATGAGATAGGTGTCCTTTAGACTGCATCAGCTCTGTTACGATCTTTTCGTCATTTTCGGGCTAAAGCGATGCAAGCGATAATTTTCACAACCATTCTTTATCAGTTATCAGAAATACTGAGATGCCGGAAAAAAAGAGAGACGATAGTCCAGTAAGCCACTTTCTTAACGCATGCTGTTGGCAAAATGCCCAAAACTCCTATTATGCACAAAATATCCATAAGACTATCCGTTTATGATTCTATGACAGTATCGCCTAATCAGCGAACTTTTGATTACCTAGCTATCTAGTCCCTGCAAACTGTCAGCAATGCCCAGCAGGTGTCATACGGCAGCATCTTTGCTTGAGGTAAATTACGTCGTATTACTGTCGAAATCGAAGGTACATCCTGAGGTGATTATTAGACTGAGGATTCGGCTGTGAGGGAGTTCAAGTCGAAGTGCAGTTACAAGGGGCGTTCTCAACGAAATCTCACCCATTTCGGAATGACCAGACCAGCATCTCGTGCTGTCTCCATTATTTTGCGCAAGTCACCTGATTTATTACCTGTTACTCTGAGGCTAAACAAAATGACTTTATTAAAGGGAGGTTGGGCATACTGGCAAAGTGGCTATGCGAGAGTTTTGTTAGATTCTGTTCAAAAGTTTCTCACCTTACAACTGAAACATTGCATTCATGGTTTATAAATGAACCGGGTGAAAGGAGATCCGCAGAGAGAAGAAAATTTTCCTTCTCCGATGCAGCAACCATTGCCATATACCAATAGCCCTGAAATACTGAGAATATAGCAGACGTCAAAAGATTCATTCCGATAATTCCTCCCATCAAATAAAGTTAAGAATCACAGAATATTCATACCAAACACGGCTGATATCTTTGAATCATATTTTGATTCTATTATTAAATTTACAGTGGTTCGTTAAGAAACTTGTCGTGCGTATGAGGGACCGTTGTATTACACGGTATCGATCAAATGCAGAAAATCAGAACAAACTGCATTTCAGAATTTTGGATAAGTATGATAACACTCCTCAGTTTAGAAGTTCTGGAAGATCGGTGTTCAGAAACATAAATTTCCTTGTGAAATCCTCTAATGTAATGCAAAAGTCGTACATTCTCCTTTTGTGTATAGAAGCGGTATTCGTCATAATCATCGTTTTATGCCCGTAGTCGACGGAAGAGCGAAAATTTTTTCGCTAATGAAATGAATGGCCTTGGGCTACCCGTGCTGACGATCCAGGAGCTGAAACCATGTTGGAATATCCTCAGTTCATATTTCTTTTGGTTAGTTGGTTTTTATACTCCATCTTCTCGAACCAAGGGAGATGTAAAGCACAGTACTCCAATACTAGCCAATGATTGCTCCTGGATCAAAGACGGACTGCAATTGACCTCCCCGGAGGAGCTTTTCATGGTAACTGGCTGAACAGTGGTAACCGCTTCTGAACTACTGTGACGTTATGACAGCCACTCAGGATTTTATAATAATTATGATAACTATTAATAATAATTATAATATACTATTTAATATTTAATAATATTAAATTAAAATAATACTATAATTCATCTTCAT